AATTCTGGGAGTTGAAGTCCACTCATCTTAAAGTGGCCAAGTTTGGACAACACTGCATTATCCCATATATATTTTTATCCTGTCGTTCAGGCAATTATTGCCTTTCAACTGGGCTCACATAAATAAATGTTAAAAAGGACAGTTCCCATCATCAGGTTTATGAACACGCGCACACACACATGGTAGAAAAGGAAAACGAGATCAGCTCTCCAAATCCAGAAAAAAGGACAAGCCTGTGTGCCAGTAGTCCACTTATTTTGGATTGGTAGCTGTTCCTTTGCTGGAGGTCTTACTTGTGCAGATCTTTGGCAATCTTTGGTCCTTTGCCAATGGGGGAAGCCAGACCATTCTCCATTTCAGATCTGTGGCCCCAGGGAAAATAAAATCTCTTTTGAGTCAAGCTCCCTTCAGGTTGACTTTTTGGACAGGTCCATGTGGTTTTCTTGGCAGCAGCAGAGGAGTGATTTGCCTTGCCTTTTTCTGGGATGTTATTTTAATTTCCTCATCTAGCACATGGACCTGGTATTCCCTTGAGGTCTCCCATCCAGTACTAATGAGGCCTACCCCTGCTTAGCTTTCAAGCCCAGGCCAGGTCAGGCAGATGCTGCCGCCTGCTGAGAAAGCTGTAAATAGGAACTGTGCGACAGAGGGATAAAAGCAGCTTTGCTTCTTTCCTGTTGCTCAGGTCCTCCACAGGAGAGGGGGATCTCCTTCATCTGGAGGCCTCTTTCCTGTTAACTAAGAGAACATCAGCATCTTTCTTTCAACAACCTAGAAAGACCTTCAGAGAAAGGGGAGGCTGGGCCCATCTCTGGCTAAGGTTCATGCACACATGCGGTTCATGAGCACAGATTCCCCTTGGAAGAGAGTTTACGCTGCCCTCCCTCCTTCACTGTAGCTCAGCTTCACTGGAGTGAAAACATCCTGAGCGCTAGTTGTATTGAAAACATTCTTTGGTTGGGTTCACACAACATATTAAGCTAGATTAAAATGGGATTGGGCAATTTGTGGTTCAGCATAATGTGGGAGTCCAGTTATTAGCATGTTGTGTGAATCAGACCATCCATTAAACAGGGTTTATCTGCTGCACCATCACATGCTGTTATGAATGCAGGATGTGTTTTATTATCCTTGGTTTGGACTTAATTATCTTGTGTGAACCTTGGTGTGCTCTATAAGTAGGTTGTCTTACCTTTCCCTTTTTACAGCAAAACCAGAACCTAGTTTAGAGGACCTGTCTGCTCCCAGCCATGCCCTGGCCCCCACAGCACCTGAGACCCTGGTAGGTGTTGGTGACAGAAGGGTTTGCGGGGGGGGGGCTTTTTTCCCTTGAGTTTGGAACAGGGTTAAGATAAAGTACTTCTAGAACTGGGAGAAATGGACTTGTATCTCATCTGGACAGTTTGAGATGCTAAAACCTGGCACTTCGGGAGAGAATGAAAAGCCCTGATTGATGTTGGAGGATATAAGGTTAGAAGGTTGGAGAGAAAACTGCCATAACCATGGGTTAAATATCAGTCATTGAAATGAACTAATATACATACCGTATCTAGATTGCCAATACTAGCTTTTATTAGAAGAGAAATTGTAGCAGAAAAATGGTAGCACTTCTCAGACCAAAAGCCCCAGGTTGTTCAGCTCCTTTTGTCCACCAGTGACTGGGCAGATCTACCTCTGGGAAGTTCATCAACAGAGCTGGAGGGAGATAGCCAACTCACTGTTTGTCTCAAGAACTACTATTCCCAGGTATTATATTTCTGACCATGGAAATTCCATTCCTGGCTGTTAGAAGTCAGGACTATAACTAATAGCGCTATCTTCCATAAAATCTTTTCCCCTTTCTAAAGCTATTTCTCCCACCGATTATCAGTGTCTGGTGTCAGAAGGTTCCATAGACACCCCTACCATGAGCCTGATGTTCCCTTGTGCACTGCTAACTTTTTTCCTTCCTTTCTGTAGCACAACCCTTTTTGTGAAGAACCTGCCGGCTTCTTGCCCCGAATAACAGAGCTCAGCCCTCAGCTCTCTCCCATCTCCAGCCCCTCACAGTCCATTCCAGCCACACCATCAACAGGCCCACTGCTTGTCCCCAAGATAGAGCGTCTCTCCCCCACTCCTATCTGCGGTGAGTAAGTAGAACCAGCATCCACCCCCAATTGAACTGGCAGTTCTACTTGTTCTGGACAGTGTTTCTGTGCATATATGTTCCATATCAAGTCAGTAATGAAAGAAATTCTGTGTATGCTCAGAAGCAACTAATAATTGCAGTGGGTTTTTTTTTCTCTACCCCCCACAGCAGCCAATAACCTGAGAATGACACAGGGACCTCCTGTCTCCCTTGAGGGGCTAATTCCATCCCCTCTCTATTCAAGCCAAAATAGGACAGAACCAAGCAAGGTAAGATCATGTTCACTCAGATCGTGTTCACCCTCTCCAGCCCAGAAGCTAATGAATTGTGAAGCATTAATAAACTCCTTTGATTTATCACTGCTAGTTTCTCATGTGCTTCATCGGTCTATGGCATTTCCCTTGGTGTCCTCTGTACAGCTTTTAGAAATACGCTGGTAAGAAAATCAATCATCAATGATGGAACGCATCAAAGAATACATGAGGTGGCTGTGTCCAAGAACAAAGGGGCAACCTGAAAATACAGCTGCCTCCTTATACCCTGCTCCAAATGCCCGGCTTCAAAGGCAGTCCAACCGCCCAAGCTTACCCATAGAGAAGGACTGTTCCCCCCCCCCACCACAAGTGATAGGAAAAAAGCTTGTCCTGTTCCTATGTGCTGCTCCTTTTTTTTTTTTTTTTTTGCAGCCTTCTCTGGCCATGCAAGCTTTGAAGAACCATAACACTTTTTTAATGTGTCTGAACTGAGACAGTAGGGAAAGGGAGATGTGTATCCCCGTGGGCAATTCAGTTTCTCTTACAAGAATAGGGGAACAAATTGCACATCTAGTCTAGTGAGACTAGAACCTCATTTCCAGTACCTCTAAAATCCCCATTTGCAGGGTATACATGAAATGGTTGCTACCTGCTATTCATCTCATAAGTGTTTTCATAAGTGAAGCTCTCTTCCCTCATCCCAACTGTGAGTATTTCAATATTCATAATGCAGAAGTGATCCCAGGAGGGTGGGGGTGGGGGTCATTGGTAATGCACAGGAATGCACTCTTCCTCCTATCAATGGAGCTTTATGGCTGGATTTACACAGGAATCTGAGTCAGCAACAGATAAATATATTGTCTGAACCCCATAAATCTTGGGACAAGAGAGGACTAGTTTTGATCTCAAACAGCATTAGATTACTTTTGGATTAAATGACATACATGCAGTCATTTCTGTTGTGCAAACATAAAAATCCCATCAAAAGCGGGATAGTTCTAAAGCCCCATCTAATCATTCCTAAAAGAAAACAATTTGGAGGCCTTTCTGAAGAAAGACTGACACACATTGCTTTTTCCTGATTTTTTCTATGGAAAGCTAGCAGGAATTACACTCCCGTAATATGACAGTTTGGTGCCAGATTTTGGCAATGTGATTCCAGGTGTTCAAGAGCTGCCAAGGTGATTCAGGAGCTGCATATATCTTTGGGCTACTCATCTTGGTTTTATACTGAAAATACCCTTCTTCCCTTCCAGACTGAGAGCCGCAGAATCATCCACATTTCTGCTGAGCAGAAGCGCCGTTTTAACATCAAACTGGGGTTTGACACATTACACGGCCTAGTGAGCACTCTGAGCGCCCAGCCCAGCCTTAAGGTGAGTGCTGATCACGGTTCTCGGTCTTTGCCAGTTTTCTCAGCAGAGGCCACAAAATTGCCCTTGCAGCTCTTGAGGCTGTCTTAAAGAAACGGGCTTCTCTAGTCTTAAGTCAGCCATCCCCAACCTGAAGGATGGGTGGTTCTGCAAAATTTGTAATCCACAGCTGGCAGGCAGACCAGACGTTATAGGAGCTGTGGAGGCTGCCAGGCCAGGGAAGCTGTCTAAATCCATTTCTCCTCCTTCTTCACCCCACTGTGCAGATCAGCAAAGCCACAACCCTGCAGAAAACAGCAGAATACATCTGCAAGTTGCAGCAGGAACGGGCTACCTTGCAGGATGAAGCCCAGCGCCTGCGGGATCAAATTGAGGAGCTGAATGTTGCCATCAAGTAGGCCTGTTGGGAACACCACTGGCTTTCTTTGGCAAATGAAGTGATTTGGTTGCTGAAATGGAGCTCTGGCATGGCATGGGCACACAGGAAGCGGGGAGGCCCAGGCAACAGGGCTGGGGGGGGGGGGTGTGGCACTTGGCTTTTGTGCCAAATCCAGGTTTCTTCCTGACTTGTCATTCCTTTGTTATAGCCTCTGCCAGCAGCAGTTGCCTGCCACAGGGGTGCCCATCACCCGCCAGCGCTTTGACCAGATGAGAGAGATGTTTGACGAATACGTCCGTTCATGCACCTTACAGAACTGGAAGTTCTGGGTTGTATCCTTTGGGGAGAAGGTTGCTTGCACTCCTGAGTGGGAACCTGCAAAGCTTTGACCAATTCTCTGAAATTGGCAATGATTCAAGCATTTCTTGCACTAGCCACAGGTGGCAGGGTATCTGATTCGCCCCCTAGCAAAAGTAGCAGAGCGAAAAAAAATCTGGCTCCTTAACTTCTCCTCCTCCATCAGTTCAGCATCATCATGCGCCCTCTCTTTGAGTCCTTCAATGGGATGGTGTCCACTACCAGCCTAGAAAGCCTCAGCCAGACGTCTTTGGCCTGGCTGGATCAATATTGTTCACTTCCAGCACTGCGACCCAGTGAGTCATTGACTTCTTTTTTTGTCTTCAGTTAGGGTGGTTCTGGATGCAAAGGGCAGGGATTAGCGTGGGAAAGAGGGATTGAATAAAATCAGGAAATAATGTTTAAACCTTAATCCAATGGGATGTTGTGGTTCAAATGCTGAACCACGACATCTGGTTTAATATCAGATTGTAAAGCAATTAAAAAGGAAACCCAGATTCAAGTTCTTGTTTAGCTATGGAGCTTGCTACAGGTAGTCCTCACTTACTGACTGCCTCATTCAGCAACCATTCAAAGTTATGACAGTACTGAAAAAGGAGATTTACAACCGTTCTTCATAGTTGTGGCCGTTGCAGCATCCCCACAGTCATGTGTTCACAATTCAGGCTTTTCACAACCAGTGCACATTTATAACAGTAGCAGCATCCCACAGTTGCATGATCACCATTTGCGAGCTTTGCCGCCAGCTTCTGACAAGCAAAGTCAATGGGAAGCTGGCAGGAAGTCACAAGTCACCATCACCTGATGTCTCACTTACTGACCGTGGGTGATTCACTTAACAACCACCGCGGAACTGATGTCGTAAGTCTAGCATAGTCATGTGACATTTCACTTAATGACCACGTCGCTTAGTGATGGAGTTGCCAGTTCCAGTTGCAGTCGGTAAGGACTACCCATACATGATTTCATCATTCTCTATCAGACTCAGTAAAATTGGGAGAAATATTATATATATCACTGAAATGCCAGAGGAGAGGTGGGATATAAACACAAATTATAAATAATCTGGATGCTGACTTACACATGACTCTAATTTCTGAATTGTAAATGGCACTGCTTCTATTAGAATATGATGATGCCTGGACAAATACAACCCAGTTCTGGGCTTGCAGTCATCCAGGGATTAATATATTTCCATAAGCCTGCTCTGTTTGTCAGTTTCTATATCCCAACTTAGTTTCATACTGGTCAGACCCGACAGGAATGTTGCATGTGCTTCAGAAAGATGGGCATTTGGCATCAGGTAAACAGAAAGCACTGTCTTGGAGGGACATAGATGCAAAAATGTCAAAGCTGTGTGACTGCCAATATCTCACTGGGCAGGAAGCTCAGGGAAGGGGCCATGCAGGGAAAAAATATTTTTTGCTATAGGGCATGTATTTTAAAAATTCCTAAAACCTGCAAAACTTTCACTGAAAACATGTGGGTTGCTAAAACATCAGTATTTGTTATTATTATTTAAAGGTTAGGATTCAGTCCTTTGTATAACCCGTTATATTTACCAAAATTACGGTTATAATACTGTACAGTATTATATCAATTTTTTAAAATTTCTCCTTTATGCCTAAAGAATGTTAAGGTGACTAAACATTACACATAGTACAGTAATGCAATTTTGACAATTCCTGCAGACCAGAGAAATCATTTTCCTTATTAGGAAACTTATACAATGTAGAATGGCTATCCAAGAGAATATTTGCAGCAGTCTTAAACATTCTTGCTTATGCATTTCATTAGATTCAATACCTGCATTTACTTGTTACTCTAAACCTGAATTCTGGCTTACTATGAATGAGCAATGTGCTGGCATGTGTAGTCTGATTAAATATGATTTCTTAGCATGAAACTTGATCTTTGCTTTGCCCTTTCTTCTTAGCTTCTGTCTCTGACTTGTTAAGGAAGAGAACCAACAAGAGTCTCTGATTCACAAATCAAATTACTATCATGTTTATTAAGGAAATAAATTGTGATTTTGTAGTGGCATATTTTATGAGTCCTTAGGATGAAAGGTTTGAGGTTTTAGATCTCCTCCCCCAGAAGCTCTCTAAGTCCACGTATCAAACTCTGTCTCTTGTCTTGGTACAGTGGCTTGGTAATTACTGCTGCCACAATCACCTATCTTCTAGGTCAGTGTTTCTCAACCTTGGCAACTTTAAGATGTATGGACTTCAACTCCCAGAATTCCCCAGGCAGCCTTGGGAGCTGAAGTCCACACATTAAAGTTGCCAAGGTTGAGAAACACTGTTCTGGGGGTTAAGTCCAATGGGACATTTCTAAATGTTTAAAATTGCACTATATTACACAAAGTAAAGAAATTCTGGGGTTGTACAGCTTTGCTTTTGAAGTGCTTTAAAATATGCTGGGAGCAAGAAGGTAGCGTGAACACTAAACCTAACCCAGACACAGTTTTAACCCAGACCTATCACAGTTTTTTGTGGGAGAATCTCAGCTTTTCCAACACCATGCTTCCATCTTTTATAGTAAACACAAGTCACGTTATTTGTGCTAGTCCTACGTTTTCGCCTTCTGCTCTGGTTTTGTATCTTTCCTTTTTGTTGTGATGTGTTGGTTCTTTTTTCAAAGAAAAAAACTTGTTTATTAGCACTGGCCATGCAATCATGATAGATAGATCTTTTAATTTGCTTCCATTTATCAGCTCTAAATTATGCCAGTTTTGTCTGTATTCTTCAGATTTCTTATTCTGTTCTTCTCTTCGCTTCCCTGTGCTGGTCAGCTAGTAATAGAAGAATACCTATAGAGCAGTGTTTCTCAAACTTGGCATCTTGCTGGCTGGGGAATTCTGGGAGTTGAAGTCCACCCATCTTAAAGTTGCTGAGGTTGAGGAACCCTGCTATAGAGCATAGGAGGATTCAGAAAGACTGTAACAGGATACAGAGAATCAAATAAAGAATGAAGATAGTATATATGTGAAGGTATTACAACGAGAGTACATATATGTATTTCATATCACTTATGCCTTCCGCAGCGCTATTTCTCTGGGGAGAAGTCTTGTTGTACTTTGCACTATTCTGCCCCTAAGGAAGCCTACCAGAGCAAAGGAGCAGTACCATTTTTAGAGATGTCTCATGCTTTTATACCCCTCCCCCCTTTTTTCCCTTAGCTGTCTTGAGCTCCCTTCGCCAGCTGAGTGTTTCTACTTCAATCCTGACCAACCCCTCTGACATCCCAGAACAGGCTACTCAAGCAGTGACGGGAACAAGTACCAATGATGGTTCTTCCTAGCCCAAGAATGGGATGCTAGCCAGAGGATGACAGCTGCCAGAGGATTCCTTCATCCCTTCAGAAGAGCTGCTTTTACGAAATAGCTGATTGGTCAGTTCTCTGCAGGAAGCTTGTAGAAGATGCTTCTTCTGTGCTGACTTTTCTCCCAGTTTTCTCTAACTCAATGCCATCTGGCCCAGTCTCCTCTCTCTCTTGGCCTGGCCAATGAAACAGAAGTGACTTTGCTACAAGATCTGTGTGATCTGTGTACTTTCTCTTGGTGGGCTTAGCTGATACCTTCCAGTTTCTACATTAGTGATTCACATGGGTGATGGATCTTCAGTCCTCCGTAGTATCTTCTCTGATGTCAACTAAAAGTCTTAGAGATAGGTCCAAATCCACATTTTGGAAGTCCAACAGGAAACAGAGGTGACATCGTGGCATCTTTTTTGCTTTGTAAAGTTATGCACCATCATAGGCAACTGTCCCTGATTACGCCTGGGAAAGGAGTCATGCTTTAGTTCCTGTTTACTAGCTCATCATCACTGCTTGTCTTTATTGAGAAGGTACAGTTACAACTTCAATTATGTTTTTGACCCTCTGCCCCCTTTCCGAGAATATACATAGCTCCAGAGCCAAGTTTGCAATGTTTAAGTAAGCCTGCCTATGTGTACATAGTTCTTTAATAGACAACAAGTCTACCCATACTCAGAGGAAACTAAAAGCAGAAGAAGACATCAGTTCAGACCAGTGATCCATTTCACCCAGAATCTTGTTTCCAGCATAGCCAGTCTGATGTGTCTAAGAAGCCAAATAAAGAAGACCCAAAAAGTGATGTGTTTATCACTTTCCCCTTCTGCTTGATCCCAGCATCTGCTATTCAGAGGAATATTGCTTCTGCAGCAGAGACCCTATTTGAAATATAACTGGCAGTATGACTGGGTGTCCTTATAAGGTCCATCTCACCCAGCGTTTCCAATGAAGGCTAAACAGGAACTTTTAGAAAGCCTACCCGCCAGGATAAAAGCAAGAATTCCCACAGTGGATGCCCCAAAAGTATATTGTCTCTCAATACTGGTATTCCAGCTAGCCAGCAGAACTAAGGCCCAGGTATTAGTCACAGAGCACTTTCAGATCACCATCTGAATAGTACAAATAGTTCAGCAGAGCCACATCTTTTCAGTAAACTGCTCATCAAATCCAGGAGAAAGCCCATTTCATATAAAAAGAGTCCACATTGTGGAAGAGCGGGCTGCTGGAGAAAATGGCAGGCCCTTGTGCTCCTTCCTTTCCTTCCCATTGGAATCTTTCCTCCAGCATCAGCATGGCTGAATTGCCAATAAAATAACAACCTTGACACCCCAGGTGTGGGGTGGAAGAGAGGAGATGCATTGTCTTTGGAGCTCTGCAGCCACCAGCAACAAAATGCCTTCAGTGTACTGCATATTCAAAGTATATGGCATAATAAATTCATTGGTCTTTATGGTGGCAAAAGTCTCTTGGTTATTTTGGTTCCAACATACTAAGACAGTGTGGTCCAAACTTGGCCATTTTAAGATGAGTGGACTTCAACTCCCAGAATTCCCCACGCCAGCATGGCTGGCTGGGGAATTCTGGGAGTT